TGCACACGTTTACCCAATGCTTCTGAGTCTGGCTTCAAGTGCCGCTTGACTTTCTCACCTTCTTTCCATTCTTCCTGCCCTTCCTTTGGTTCCCCTTTTCCTCTCTCACTTAGAGACTGGCTGTCTTTGTTGGCCTACTCCAGCCCACCTTCCCAAGACACAGATGGCATACTTTGCGTGTCCACATGAAACCTTTGACTCGACTTTGTGTCCTTCAGAGGGAGACGTAAAGCTCTTTCCAAGGCGTTGAAGGCTGAGAGCACTTGGGCCTTTCTCACCTCATACCACTTGGCTCCCCCTGCACATTCTGTGCTCTAGTCAAACCACACAGTGCCACTCAGAATTTCACATGTCTGTGGCTTTTTTTTTTGTTTTGTTTTTCTTGACATCTGTTTTCCCTTTCTGTTCCTATTTGAGCCTTATCTTTTAAGTCTCTGCTCAGATGGTACCTCCACATAAACTGTGTTCTGTTTCCTTCCTCTTCTTCACTCAGTGGTGATAAACTCCCACATGCTCTAGTTTGGGGTTCATTCTGCACATTCCTTTTTAGGTTACAGGGACCGTTTATTCCTCATGGTGGCGGCCCCTGTAATAACGAGCAGGTTGTGCACACAGTGGGAATTTATGCAGTGTTTGCTGATTTGAATTCCTGAGGGATGTGGACAAAGAAGAGGGGCGAAAAATATAGAGTCTATCTAAAGAGGAAGTCAGTGGGTGACATAATAGGAGCTGTTAGAGCCAGTGTGGCCAGGAACCTGGAATGACTGGTGGGCATTGGCTTGAGACATCCTCAAACTACTGATTCTAATTTTTTACAGTGGCAGATTGAGATTAATCATGTCTGTTTATTCCAGTTAAAGAGACTATCATGAAGATCAAGACAGAAAACATTTTTTAAAATGCAGAGGTCCATGTGACTGGAAGGTGCCTTCTTTTTACATAGGTAGCAGCTTTGGTACAGGAGAGGGTGCAAGAATCCTCAGGCTTTCTCAGTTAGCTCTTGTCCAGCTTGACCTTTCTTCTTATTGCTCACAGATCTGCTTTCCCCATCATTTATGACACCTCTTCTCTGCTATTTTCAAATATATAAATCTGCATGACTTGCTACAGCAGTTTTATCCTTTAGTATACTTTGAACATGAAAAAGAGGAACTTTCTCGGTTCCCTCGTGAATAATGATCGTGCAGTGCAAAATTATAGTTTCATGAGCCTGTTTTGAAATGAATGTTGAGATATTTGGTGGTAGAGGGGAGCATGTTATCTCTTTGGTCAGGATAGAGGCTGTGATACTGTAAGAGAATATGTCATTATTTTGGGGGAAGGAGATGGCTTGTTATTTTCCCTATGTGCGAGTGTTCAGAGGCCATCTCCATACACACACACACACATATGTATGTATGCCAAGAGTGTCACCTTAATGTGACTCGACTATCGTCTTTCCTGCTACTGTGAGGCTTTACATATTATACATGACAGGGTGTGTTTCATGGTGTGATAAAGTGCAGCCTGTTTTTTTTTTTTAAGATTTATTTATTTGTGCATACAGAACTGGGGTACTGGCCAGAACAGGCAGATTGACGAAGTACACTGCTGCGGGGAGCAGCAGGAGGGCCAGGAGAGGTCTCCCATGCCATGTGGTCACCTCCGGGGCAGGCGGGGATCGAACTCATGCGGAAGTGGTTTCAGCTTCTTAGTGCTGTGCTATAACCTGCTGCACCACCAGGGAGGGCCTGTGCAGCCTGTTTTTAAGAACTGATTTTGAAAATCTTTAAATATGGAAGGAAAACTTAGCAGGATGGAAATAGGAATGCATTTGCTTAATTTTGCAATCGTAGTATGATCATCTTAAATGTGAGTATTACTCAACAAAGAAAGTGCTATTTCATGCCAACTTTGCTTCTAATACTGTCTGCATTACCTGCGAGGGGCAAATTTCAGGTATGTTTGAAATAGTCATCCATCTTAAAGTGTCTCTGTCTTGATGAAAAAAAAAAAAACAATTCTTTCTTGAAAGTATTTACGTATACACATGCCAAGCTGAGGTCTAAATATATAAACAAATGAAATGTAATATTAAAAGAACAACTAAGCTAACAGAACATACTTTTTTTTCCCCTCTAGTGCCCCAAAATGCGCCGTCATGCTTTTGAACTCAAGATGTTAGATAAGTATAGCCATTATCTGGCTGCTGAAACTGAGCAGGAAATGGAAGAATGGTTGATCACTTTGAAAAAGATTATTCAGATCAATACCGACAGTTTAGTGCAAGAGAAAAAGGAGACAGTAGAAACAACACAAGGTCAGAACTTTTTAACGATTCATTTTTGAGTTAAAACCCTTATCTTTAATCTACGACAATATCCTTTGTGCAGGATGGGTATATTCTAAAAGGTTAAAATACTTGATCTTTAAAAGTGACTATGAAGCTTGATAGATTGTTTTGAAGAGTTGATGCCGCATGGACTCTGACACCTGAAATACTGCCAGACTAAAACGGATAGGGAATTCATGGCAGATTTTCAAAAGTCCATTAAAGTTTTCCCTATGCTTTCATAATATAAATTCTTTGCCATAAACCTCTTAGGAGAGCATGAGGTGGGAGTGATAGTTAGGATATTCCTCTTAGGTGATTAGTAATGGTCTGTATGGTTTGAAACATCTGCTTTTAATGAATTTGCAGATGATGAAATTAGCAGCCAAGGAAAAGCCGAGAACATCATGGCCAGTTTGGAAAGAAGCATGCATCCGGAACTGATGAAGGTACATCTTTGTTATTGCAACTTGCTTTCAGCTGAGACAATGCAGAATGAGCTGTTCAAGTTTCAGTGCTGGATCCCATTTGATAGTGTCATTTCTATGTTAAAATAGATGGCAAATTAGTGAAATAGATAGAGGTTAATGAAAGAAAAGTTACACTACTAAGATGGAATTTGGAAGTGCTACATAACAGTTTGGAAAATCTTATTTTTTTTCCCTAGATGCCTAGATGTTTCTGAGTTTATTAACTTTATCTGCTACTGCTTAGTCAATTCACTCATTCACAAAATAAATATTCTTCATCCAAGGGGCTACTTATGCACATTGAACATGATATTCAATCTAATTATTTATAAATGTTTATTTCATATGGAAATCATACAGTTTCTATGTAAATTTGTATGCTTATGAATCATTTTATCAGATAAAGATTTTTGTGGAATAAGACATCATTTGTGGTGATTACTCTTCAGAGTTGGAAGTCAGCCCGTTTTAAGTGTGGAGGTGATTGCCATGCTTCTCTTAGTAGGTTGCATATTTTGCTCTGTGGACATAGTACTGTAATAGATTAGAAGAGTCTGCTCCATTTATTCATTTCTCAGATCTATTTATATTTTCAGTTTTCCTGGACTACTAAGTTGCATGAGTCTAGAAGTTACTTTTTTAATGTTTTAAGCTTACCCTTCTCTTAAGCTTTAAAGTTTTTTTTTTTTTTTTTTGCAATTTAGGAATGTACTCATGATTCCCTGAAGTGGGCTTTCTATGATTTTATGAATTTTAATTTATTCCCTGTGAGTTTTTTTTTTTACTCCAGACTATATAACCCACTATGTTTTTCCTAAAGTGGGGGGATTGAAATTATATATAATATTCCATGGCTGGAGCTATGGATATGAATATAAAGGAACCAGAGAGATTTTGGTGGCCAAAGAAACATAAGAGAGCTCCTTTTTTGTACTGTTGTGGGTTAAAACAATATTCTTGATGTGAGAAGCTCATAGAAAGTATAAGAATCTGATCTAGTACTTAACCATGGATCAGACAGTGATTCTTTGGCAAGTCATTTATCTAAAGTACATGGAAGTGCAGAATAGTGTACTTGAAGCTGTGTCACATAGCTAGTTTCACGTAGCATTTAATACTGCTTTGAAGGGAATAAGGTAACTAGTTTGTGTATGTATACATGTGTGTATATATATTTGTATTTCTTTTGTTTTCTTAATTTTAGTATGGAAGAGAAACTGAGCAGCTAAACAAACTAAGTAGAGGTGATGGAAGACAGAATCTATTTTCTTTTGATTCGGAAGTTCAGGTATTAATGATAGATATTTAAGATTAGAAATGTTGCCTTTTCAGATCAACAGCATCTGGGAAATGGTGAAGCACTGATTTTTGTATCCCCGGGGAATATTGATTGCTTTCTATTTGTCTGGTTCCTTTTGAAAGGCACCTTAACGTCTTCACTCGAGGACTATTCCATCTACGAATAGCTTAGGACTGAATATATGTTCTTCTCCCTCAATTCTGATATTCTTTGCATTTCATCTCACTCCTCAAAATGGATAAATTAAAGAACCCCTAATGATGTTCCAGTTCTCTTTTAACACATTAAATACAATTGTGATATCTTAGCAGTGAGTGTCTGCATTTTAAAGCACACCAAGACATATGAGACGTGATTTATTTTCCACTTTAGATATAGAACTGGAACAGTGTTCAGGTCTGGTCTAATCCCACTTTAAATGGAAAGGCGTGCAGGGAACTGTAGGTTTATGTGCAGATGTGTATTTTAAACATCTTTCTTGGGGGTTAGGTACTCTTTGTACTTAGATATATGCAGTTAATATTTAATTCCATGGTACTGTGTAATTTGCTGATTTGTTTAAAGGAAAAAAAATGCTACTGTGTTGAAGTGTTAGCAAATATTTTTCCCGTTGGAAAACATTTCTTGAGAAAATATAACTATTTGGGGGGGGTGAGTTATTTTTTGTTTTCAGTTTTGCTACATGAGATTTCTAATGAAATTCTTTGGGATTCTTTTTCAAATAGAAAATATGTTTCATATAGGCATAATTTTTTTCAATGAAAATATTAAACAATTCAGGGAAGATTGATTTTGTTTTGTTTTATTTTACTTTGTATGGCTTTCTAATTAAAATTCTTTTTTAGTTTGAAAGTGGAAAATTATATAGTGTATAAATAATGCAGACATTTGTTTTTAATAAAAATGTCAAATGAAAAAATAAAATTGGGAAAAATAAAGTATTTCATCTTTTCTTTGCTTCCCCATAGCAATATTACTTGTAAATTATGTGATTAAACAATAATAATCTAGCAGGCTCGGGGATTAAACCATAGTAATCTAGCAGGCTCAGGGATGTTAGTTCTAAGATAGTCACTCAGAAATGTACTTGTCCCCGGCCTGTGTGAGCCTTTGACTTCCCCCTGCCCCCACAGTGATTGGCCTCTAATTGGCCATGTCAGGCTCTTTCATTGTGTACAAAGAAGCCAATTGACTGTGGTTGAAACCAAATCCAGTATCTTTAAAAAAATTGTGGTGTAGTGTTTTTGTGGTCATGGAACTGAACGGCTTTTATATTTTTAGCTGTTTATCGGTGAGAAAAAAATTCACAGTTGTGATGAAACTAAGGATAAAAAAAATGAATCTTGATTATGGAAAATCATCTCACCTCAGAGAAGTCCATGTTGTGTATGCCAAGTCCCTTTTCTAGGTGAAATGCCATCCTTCTCTTTTGGCCACAGCTCAGTGTCCAGAGAGACAGATGTTTTCTACCCAAAGGCCTTAGATGATAAGAAATGCTGGCTTTGGGATGTTTTGCTTCCTACTTTGAGCTACTGGGCAGGCCCTGGCTCCTAATGTTTGCACCCAGTTGGGCAGAAGGGAAAGGCTTGGGGACTGGCATGATTTAGCTCTGTCACTTCTCACATTCCAGGTCTGAGTAAGAAGAAAGAGCAGATAAATGGGTGGAAATTGGAATCGATCTCCATGACAATGACTTGCCACCCGGCTCCACAGATTAGTGTTAAGAGCAAGCTGTCTATCCCACACAGTGTTTATTCCTTTTGTAGAAAACAGACTGAGGAGAAAAAAAATCATGCTTTCACATATGAATATCATACTCGAGGCTCATTTAAGGAGCATATTTTGTCAGTGGTACAGGCTAGGCCAGAGGAGCTATAATTATCTAAGACTCTTCAGGCACAATACCTGTTTTGGCTTGACTTGTTTAGGCAGTGGAGAAAATTCTTGTTTCTTGGCTTGAGTTTTCCATAATGGCGGTATATGCTGCTCGGATTCACCCAGTCATTTCCTGTCTGCCTTGTCTCTGGCCTTAGTGAAAGTGGAGTAAGCTGTCTTACAATCTTTGCTATAATCACTTTTGTAAGTCTGTTCAGACATTTAGCATGAACAGATGAACTTAGCATGCCTGAGCCATGTGAGCTGAGGAGGATTCTATGAATTTCTTTGAGGAAGCACAGATTTCCTTCTCTGCTGAGGAATTCCGTGACTCCCTATATCTTTTTTTAAAACTTGTTGTTTTCATTTTGAAATACCGATAATTTTAAAAATATATCTCTGTGGCAGCCAGGGTATATCTCCCAGCTCTGTTAGAAGCTGAGCTCAGTGTTTATCGTTTCCTAAGTAGACACCACTCCCTCTGTTCATCATTTACATGTAGGTGGTCTCCAGGGCTCCAGCCTTGTCCTCCTCCTTAGCCTGGATGCCATTGACTTCCAGATCCTGAGCTCCAAACCAGACCTCTCCTGTTTTTTTCCTACCACTTGCTCCTAGCACTTCAAACTCAACACAACCCAAACTGAAATCTCTGCTAACCTACCCTCCTTCCCCATCTGCTGTTCATTTGTGTTTCACAACGAAGTTCATAGCATCACTGTTTTCCAGCTCTTCCAAGTTAGAGACCGTTGTGTTACTCTTAATGCCTTTCAGACCCATTCATGTCAATTTGCCTCCTGCACACTACATAAAGGACACAAAATGCTTACCCTTCTGGAACACATGCTTTGTAGGCAAAACTAATGAAAAGTATAGATAAATAGTAAGAAGTAATGTTATCCACTAAATCGAGGAAAGGGACTTAAACTGTCAAGAGTGTGCTGTTTCGTACAGGGTGTTGTACAGTCTGTGCAAATGCTTATGGATTGGAGACTGGAATGAAATGAGGCAGCATTGCAGCTCTCTGAGGGAGTAGGGTGGCTGTCAGAAAAGCGAGTGCAAAGGCCCTGAAGCACAGGTGTATTTGGTGTGCTGGAGAAATAACCAAGGGAGACCCATGCCCATGTGGCTGGAACAGAGATGAGGCCAGATGAGTGGGCCAGGCAAGGAATCATGACCTATTGGAGTTCATAGACTCTCATATAGGTTGTGGCTTTTCAGCTCCTTTAAATTAGATCTTCATCATCTCCCTTCAAGATTTGTGAAATGAAAAATAAAAAGGGTTCAAATGAACACAGGACAGAACACTGTTAGATGGTGCCATTTTTGCTTGTAGATCTATATTCATGTGAATCTTGAGTCTCATATTTTGGAAATGATTCATAGTATCTGATATTTCGTAGAAGCTGGACTTTTCAGGAATTGAACCCGACATAAAGCCATTTGAGGAAAAGTGCAATAAACGTTTCCTGGTAAATTGCCATGATTTAACTTTCAATATCTTGGGTCAAGTTGGAGACAATGCCAAAGGACCACCTACCAATGTAAGTATGACTTTTCTTTCTACTTCTTTGGAATCAGAAAGGAAAATGCCTTTCTTTTTTTTTAGCACTGAGAACTAATGTACTGAATGAGAATTTTATTGCTACATATTGTGAAGAATTTCATCCATGTCTTTTGTCTGCCAGTATCTCGAGAAAAAAAAAGAGCAGATAGGTTGTTGACACTTATAAGAGACTGTCTCCAGAATCTGAAAGATCCTCCCATTTGTGAATTGTTCGAAATATGAACATTTCTGTGAAATTGGCTCATAGCAATGAGCAAGAACCCTCATGATCCCAAAGATGCTGCACCCTCAGCTAACTTTACCCACTATTCTAAGGGTGAATTGTTTTTGCACAGAAAATTCTGATTATTAGCTATCACAGATCATTTGAGTTGCTCAGAAATACCTGAAACTGTAAATGTAAAATCACCAATTGTGACCTTTTTATGTTCGTTTTTATTTTCTGGTTCTGTTTCTGTCAGTGCAACATACCCACAGGGTTGATGTATTCTCATGCAAAGAAGCTGAAATGCACTAGCAGGCAACCTTCTGCATATAAAGGGTTAATCTTTATGCCATCTGGCATGAAATTTCTCTTTGTGACCAGCTTTCAAATGCCATCTGTAGAGAGGAATCAAGTCTTCCAAAACTGCTGATGGGGCAAAGCTTTTGTCAAGTAATTTGATGTTGACTGATACTAGTTCTTCTGAAATGTATAATCCAGGAAGCTGCAATGTGACAAAAGGGAAGATTTATTTCTATTCTATAATATTGGCATTTTTTAAGGTAATTTCAGTAAACCTATAGAGAATGAAATTTTATTCTTAGAACTATGGATGTGGTCATTCAGTATAACCTGCTTTCTCTTCGTCATGAAAAAAAAATTTGTAACTTGTAAACTTATTTACACCTGACCAAAATTAAATTGGATAGCCTGTTATTTTTGGAATACTTTATTCCATGCAAAGTAGCCTTAACACAATTTTAGCAATGTTACACTGAGAAAGGAACTACAAATTCCAAAAATGTGAGGCATGAAACATTTTTTAATTTGTGCCCCCCAAAAAGAGTTTTTGCTTAAAAATGTGATTTTTTTATTCACAGGTGGAACCGTTTTTTATCAATCTTGCCTTATTTGATGTAAAGAACAACTGTAAGATTTCAGCTGACTTCCATGTAGACCTGAATCCCCCATCCGTCCGTGAGATGCTGTGGGGCACCTCAGCCCAACTGGCCAGTGATGGGCACCCTAGAAGCTCTTCACCCGAGTCTTTTATTCATGGAATTGCTGAATCTCAGTTACGCTACATAAAACAGGTAAAGCGTGACCTTTTGGCCTGGGTAGTGATTTCCAAAGAAGAAATTCTTGGATTGTTCCATTGTTTCAGGCTGCTGTTTTCCTGGCATTCCCTCCTTGTAAAGTCTGTGTAGAGGAGTTTTTCTGGTGACTGAAGTTGAAGGGAAAATACGGAAATCAGTAGAACATACTAATAGTTGGCTAGTCAATCAGAGACGTAACGTCAGTGGGACTGTGAAGTGTCTGGAGGGCAGGAGTTGGTGAGCTGCAGTTCAGGTCTACTGTGTTTAGTTTTTGCCTGAAGGACTTGTTATTTTTCAAGAAAAATCAGGACTACTGTAACTCTCCCATCTCTCATTCTCATTTCCATCATGGCTAGGTATTTTAATGAAGCACAAAGACTCTTTATCCAGGGGTCTGGCGGCAAGGCAATGGGAAGGGGCTGCTGTGTCCTGGCTATAAAGCCGCCCTCATCTGACCCATCTGGTGCAGAGTCCCCTTTAGAAAGAGTCTTAACAGATCCTGGCATTTTGACCTCGAAGCAGACTGGAGGCCGTGGAGGTTAGGCTGAGAGCAGAATCGATGGTCTGTCTTCTAGACTTTTGCAACTGAAAGGAAACCAGAGTGAGGCATACGGGAACAAAGCAACTCACTTTGTAAAGAGATTTATTTTCCCCAGATTAAAAATACCATTCCTGTCTTTCCAATGATAGAACGAAGCACATGATGTTGAAAATTCAGACAACAGCGAGTACAAGGAAGAATGTAGAAAACACTAACCCCTAGATCATGGTTATTAACATTCCGTGCATGTCCTTGCAGACATGTTGGATACATGTTATCTGTATTCTGAGACAAGCTGTGTTCTCATGTTTTATATCTACTGCATTCACCGAATGTCACATTGGTCGGTATTTATAGATCACTCACATTCTTAATAAAAGATAGTCTGGCATTTCCTGGATTCAGCTAATTAGGATGGTGGTGCTTCAGGGGCATCAGACAATGCTGCATTGAACCCTCTTGTGTATACATGTTGTTTGTTGAATTAGCTCCTCAGAATCAATTCCAAGCCCTGGGATTTTCAGAGCGAAGATTACATTCACTGATAGAGATTTCCAAATGACAGTGGAAGTTTCCTTTACAATTGCTGTCACTCTGTCTTCTTTGGGCTATGACACTGTGGGGGGCTTTTGCCCAGTTGCTCTCAGTTGTTTGCTGACGGCCCCTGAGTTACTTGCACTGTAGTTGTCACATAACATGAGCATTCCAGTACAAGGGCCTGTGCTTCTCAAGTGAGGCTGAGCCACAGAATAGAAGTCTTTGAGAACCTACCACTGAATTGTTCAAGTAAAATTTCTCACACAGTACCAGAAAAGTCCATTTGAGCTGATGATGTCTTTACTGTATCACTTCAGTGAACTCAGTATGTCCAGTCCAGAGGTTTCCGTTGTGATCTCAGGTGTCATCCCACTTGTATTCTAGGTTGGGAAGAAAATGGAATGTGTCCTGGGTGCCAGAGTTGTCAGTCTTAGACATCGTGTGATCATTACCATTTTGCTGATTAGGAAACTGCGGTCATGCTAGCTGCCTACCGTGACAGCATCAGTAGGGGGGAGGCAGAGTTTGAAGCTGGTCTGTTTGAAAGAACTCAATCCAGCATGTATTAGAGAGAAACGAATGAAGTCCTGGAAAGTGAGGCGCAGTGGGAATAGGGGTGTTTGGAATGTGAGGTAGGGTCAGGAGGTAATATAGAGGCCTACATAGAGAGGTGGGATTTGGGGAAGGTCTCAGAGGAATAGCTGAGCCCCGGAAAGGGGAGGACTATAGCAGTGTTCACAAATGAAGAAACTGAGGCACAAGACAGTTATGTGGCTTCCCCACAGTCACAGAATTAGTACCTTGAGCAGAACCTAGGGGTAGCAGGCTCCAAGCCATGGATTGTACTGTTCCACTCCATTGCTTCCATATCAGCTTGGAGCAAGGGAAACAGCCTTCTCAGGATGAGTTGTAGCTCCCAGAGCTTGGTGGATGTTGGGTGTTTGGAAGCCATTCTAGGTCTTCCTCAATTGCTTCTTGGAGTCTTTCTCTCTAGTAGCTTCCTGAGGAGCAATGTGGTAACCACAGGGAAAGGAAAAAGTTGGGTTCAGAAAGGAGTAATTTTGCCTCTTGACACCAAACTGCCACTGTGACCAGTCACAGCTGTTTGGCAGTTCCTTTCCAGATGCTCTGACAGAGAACAGTTCCCCTTATCCTTCAAGGTCATGCCCTGGGCTAACTTTAGGTTGGGCTGTGGGGAGCTGCTAACTCTTAGGTGGATGTTTGCATCCCTATAGCCCTGCAGGCTCCCTTTTGAGGGCAGGAGATGTTGACCTGGTGAAGGGGGGCAGGCCCCCCCTCTTCCATAGGTGCCCTGCCAAGCTCTGGGGTGGGGTGAGCTGACTCATTCTCTAGAAAGGTAACTGGAGGGGACAGGGTCAGTGAAATGGCTGAGTCACCTGGGATGGGGGTAGGCACAACCATGGCTCTCGGTGGGAAAGGGGACTGGGCCAGATGCCTTGTCTTAAAGGGCTAGGTCCCTGGCTTCTCTCTGGCAACCTTTCTGTGTTCTAATGGGACAAAAGACAAAACATGGTCCCCCATTTAAAAAATGAGCACCTCTGGGCATCAGCACCCTCATCTGCAAACCGGAGGTAGCAGGGGAACCTGTATCCCAGGGCTGTTAACATGTTCCCAACAGTACCAGAAATCAAGTTCCTGACCTTGAGACACTTTGGGCCACATTAGTAATAACCATGTGTACCTAATGAGCATTACTTCATTTAATCCATACGATGAATTTTATGAAGTAGCTATTCCATCATTTCCAGTGTGTAGGTGAGAAATTGAGACTCAGGATGTGACTTGCCTAAACTCATAATAGTGGAGCAAAACATGAACCCAGGAGCTTTCATTGTCTTTATTCTATGCTTGCTGCCTGGGACTTCAAAGCTGAGTCACCTGTTACCCAGGAGTCTGATAGGTATTTGACATGGGATGGGGGAGAATCAGTGAGTATCTTACACTCAATTTGTTCTTCTGCCCTGTCTATCACAGAGGTTTCTATCTATAACAAGCAAGATAATGTGTCTGAAATGCTTTGAAAACTGGAAAGTACTGTATCAGTGCAGTTGGTAATATATCCAGTAGGAAAAAACTTGGGTGGAGTCCCGATGATGGATTTTTCCATTTACATTCACGTGTGTGGTGCTCCTTTAAATAACAACAGACAAGCAGCCAACACACTATTTGGAAGCTGTTATATTGGGAAGGAGCTGAAGTGGACAGGGAGATGACACGGTTGTTCCACATGCGTTCAGAGAAAACTTCCATGCTTTGGGTTGTGTCTGCATTAGCGCCTGTCAGTAAAGTGTGTGGGAACAAAGTGAGTTTCAGATCCTCTGTCCCCTCCCTTTGTGTTGAAAGCACAGAGCTCCGTACCAGCAACAAAGGCATGTTTTCAATACAGTGATTTATATTTTATAATACAATTTTTATTCCATCAACACTGGTTTATAACCTTTGTGTCAGTTCCAGGTGTACAGCATTGTGAATACTACATCAAAAGTCGTTTCTATTCACTGCCTTTGAATTGACCTTTACCCTTCTCTCCCATCTCCCAACCCTCTTCCCTTCCAGTATCCACCACTTTGTTTTTTGTACCGAAGAGCATGGTTTGGTTTTCTTCCATGTTTTAATTTCTTTATATTCCACATATGAGTAAAATTATAGTATTTGTCTTTCTCTGTCTGACTTATGTCAGTATAACAGCCACAAGGTATATCCATGTCACTAATAGCAGGATTTTTTTTTTATCAGAGTAGTATTCCACTGATGTGTGTTTTGTGCGTGTGCATATGTGTATTGCACCCCTTCTTTATCCACAGGTGATTTCATTTTCATGTTTCATAGAACAGTATTTTTGTCCTCTTACCTACCATTAGTGATCCTTAAATGTGAATGAATTGCTCTAGGACATGCAATATTTGAAAATGCATATATGGTTCCATCTGAGAAATGCACACTTCTAGCACATGAAAATTAAGCCACCAAACATTGTATTCAAGTCATCTAAGTATGCACCTTACAAACACCGTACAAACTAAGCAGCAGTAGTGACACCTGCACTTTGTGGGGGCGAGAGCATGTGAAGCTGGTAACAAGCTATATAAAATCCGTTCCAAAGGGAACATCGGGAACTTTAAAGCCTATGTGAAAGGAAATGCTATTTATTTCCAGGGTCTTGGACATGATCCTATCTCAAAGACAATATTGAATAGCCACACCCTACACTAAACATATTGCTAAAATCTTAGCACCAAGTTATGTAAAAAGTCTAACAAAAGTAAATTTTTCTAGGGAATCTTCTCAGTGACGAACCCACATCCTGAAATTTTTCTGGTTGCAAGAGTTGAAAAGGTACTCCAGGGAAACATCACACACTGTGTCGAACCTTATATCAAAAATTCAGACCCGGCAAAGGTATTTATCAAGACCATTTGTGGACATTTCAGCTTACCCTCTAATTTGTCTCTCTTACTCACCATTTCAAATGGAGGTGTCAGTGCTCCCCCACCCCCAAAAAGAGAAACCTTAATTTTCTCAGTGTGCAATATATTCTGAAAATAGCATGTACTGTGTGAGGGACAGGCTAAAGCTTGAACAGGACTTTTCTTTTTTGTTATTGTCATTATGTTCTGTTTGCAGGAGGATCTGATTTCTGCTTGTTTATCCCAATAAAAGCTAAAGACTTAGGCGACATCTGTCTGTTGCACCATATTCTTGGCAATAGACACACTTTACTGCCAGCCCTACATGCAGCCTGAGAATCTTAGAACTGGGAGGATAGAGATGCTAGAGACATGTATTAGTTCCTCAGTGCCGCTCCAGACTCATATTCCTGTGATGAAATGAGACGTGAAAGCCAAGAGAGCGAGCGGTTCATGAAACGAGGGGCCTTTACCTTGCAAGGATGCCTTTTCTTTTGAGATTTTTGCCCTTCCTACTTTTTACATAGCATAATCTGTGTTTCCTGAGCCATTAGCATATTCCATGGTAAAGGTTGTGTTCTCTTCTATAATGTTTTTAAATGGCAACATTAAAACTTAACAACCTATATAACCCAAATGTTTGGATCCTGAAACCCAAACCTTTGCAAATTACTCATCTAATCCTGTTGAATTTTTTAAATTGGTAAACAGGCACACAAAGGGCAAGGTTTTGTGGACTAGATCACAGTACCACTGCAGCCTCTGATAATTTAGGAAGAGTTGATGTGTTGATGGGGCATTTAATTGTGTATTCAAATAGTGTTTATTAAATGGAAGATTCTACAGAGACAAATTTGTGAATCAAAAAAAAAAAAGTCTCTGCAATACAGACAAAAAAAACGTCTAGTGAGTGCTCTGTGTCCCTGGGGATATGCACCTAGCCAGCATTTCACCACCTGTTGAGACTCTATGTGCATTTAATCTCCTTTGTCTTCAGAGCCCATGCAAACAGCAACTTCTGCCTACACTAAACTAATTGCTTTGACTCTTTCACTTGGCCCTCATCTTGTGGGTAAAAAGGTTATACCCAGAACAGACTTTTCCCAAGTATGATGAGTAATTATCTACTCTGTGGGAAAGGAGAAACACGTTAAAACCTCTTGAAGTTTTCCCAGTAGAGATCTTGGATACAGGACGTGACATACCTTTTGTGGGGTGTGGGGAAGCTTCTGACACCTTGAGGAAGACTCTGTTAATGAGCAAACAAAAAATCTTTCAGATAAGCTTTGGTCTGGAAAAGTTGACTGTGATATTTATTGTGTGTTTTATCTGTAACTGTTTCTATATTTTCTTGTAGTAGTTGGTTATTGAGCTGGGGGAGTTACTTTTCTGGATGAGTCCCTGGTTGTTTGAATAAACGTGAGCCTGTCTTCTTTCTCTAATCTTAGACGGCCCAGAAGGTGCACAGGACAGCTAAGCAAGTGTGTAGCCGCCTTGGACAATACAGAATGCCCTTTGCTTGGGCTGCCAGGTTTGTACAAATAGAATCCCACCCTTCCATTCACACTCACTGACAGTTGAGGACTGCTGGCCTTGTCAGCAGCGTTCAGCAACCTGTTTCTGACAGACCGGTTGACTATCCTGGGATACTGGGGATGTGTGCTATTCCAGCAGACATTTTAAACAGCATACATTTTCTGTCATACTCAGGAGACTTGAAGTCTGGGGTCAGGTGCCACCATAGTTGGGTTCCAGTAAGGACTCTTCTCGGATGGAGACAGCCAACTTCTTGTAGCCTCAGAACGGAGGGAGGCCTCCCGGCCTCTTTAGAGGGCACTAATCCCACTCATGAAAGCTCCTCCCTTCTGACTAAGTTACGTCGAGTGGCCCCATCTCCACATATTGTCAACTCTGGGGACTTCGACTTATGAATTTTGGAGAGGGGTACACAAACATTCAGTGCCTAACAGGATATAAGAATTCTTTCTCTTAGAATTTACTATGTATCAAAGACCCTTTCATTTCTGCATATGTCTGTCTTGCTTCAGGGAAATTTTCTTTGGCTTGGGATACTGATGTCACTGACACCATTTAATTTATTGCACATTGAGGCAGAACTTACTTGCTGCAGTGACGAAATTTTTTTTTTTTAGGAGAAAACCAGAAATCACAGGGAATTATATACAATATACCTACTATTTCAGAGTTGGCTGGCTGGGTTTATGGTTTGAAAAGCTATCAGAGAATAATTCTGGGAAATGAAAAAAAAATTAAAAGAGAATAATTTTGGGAAATATGCTAAAAATCAGAAGATAGAGCATGCAGTTGTTAAGAGCAGATGTGTAATTAATGAGGTTTTCCAGTGTCACGATGACACATTCAACAAAGCCTTCCGGGGCAGCGTGTTTGTCAGCATGTTACCTGTAGCACACATCTTAAGGTAGTTTATGGTATTTATTTTTTCTAAATCTTTGCACATCTGCATAAAATGATGATTTATTTTCTTGCCCCCCCCTCTCCCCCCAAGTACAGGTTCATTGACTAGTGTGTAGCTCATTGCAACTTTGGAAGAAAGGGCACCATCTTCTGAATAATTCAACCTTACATTCAGTGGGTGCTGGGGAGTAGTGCAAGGTTAGGGGATTTGAAATTAATGAACTCTCTTGTTGTTATTTATAAAGACTGTTTGGGGGAAGGTCTCAAGATATACTGTATGTGATAGATGAAAAAGCATGTTGTCCTTATCCGTGGATTGGTAAACATCAATAGCCAAGGAGACTCAGTCAGTGGCAAAGAATAGTGGAGGTCGGTATATTTAGGCACCATGAATGGTAAAATATGGCTTATAAATAGAAGCACCCTTAGTAATGCTCCAACCTGGGAAGGGAATTGCTGCTACTGTTCGTATTAATTAGTTACTAAGTGGTTACTCTGTAGAAGGTGGTGGTCCAAGTGCTTTGTGTATACTTTCTTTTCTTTTTTAAAAATTTATTTTTATTTATGCATACAAGAACTGGGGTACAGGCCAGAGATGCAGGGGTTGTCCTCTCACAGAGGATTCACCAGAGACAGAGTGGGGAGCAGAGCAGGCAGATCTTTTGAAATACACTGCTGAGGGGAACACTGGGTGAGACAGGAGAGGTCTGCTGCACCATGTGGGTCCCCCCGGTAGAGGATCTAACTTGTGCCGCAGTGGCTGCTGATAGCTTAACCCCTGTATCACCAGGGAGGCTCCTGTGTGTACACTCTTTAAGAGATGGCTACTGATGAGGAAATTGAGGCACAAAAGTACAAAAACAAGGAAGTCCATGCCCCCAAGTTCATCTTTGATCTAGCAGAGGAGGGGTCAGAGCTCATGCCTCTGTCTTCAGCCCTTGCTCCAGCACACAGTGGCTACCTCCCGCCTCAGACTGTGGCAGTAACTGCTTGATGCTGTTTTGCCAGTGGAAAAGCTAATTTTAAAATCTTGTAAATTAGAAACTTTGATCCCCTGTTGTGATAAGGAATTATGCTGTTTCCTTCCTGAATTGTGCTGGCTGTCAGCAGTAGCAGTAACTCACTCTAACGGCTTGACTGTGGTATTGAAAAGATAAACCTCTGTTTACTGAAAATAAAAGAGGTATGCTTAGAAGTAGGAACCGTGGTTAATGCCTAAAACCACATCTTCAGACACTCTGCCAGAGGAAATTATGTTTCTGGCTGTAGTTACTTCCAGTGTTGTTGGATCCTTGTATGTTACTTCCATCTTAACAGTAAAATTGCTTAACAAATGGGAGAAAAGGCGAGACAAATAAAATTTATCGTGGAATCTCTACCAATATAAGAAACTCTCTGCAAATTGATCTTAAGGGTCTGATTTAATTTTATTGAGTGTCACTTTACCTGTGATTACAATGTGTACATTTTATATGTCCAAACCAAAGCCTTTGCACACATGTGTGCAGTCAGGTGACTGACACCTAACACCCACCAAGCTGTAGAGCAGGCTTGTCAATCTGGAGGGTTTCTTCACACCCCTGCCAGCCACCCAGGTAATTCAATTCTGATCATTACCACTGTTGAGGACTGCTCTGTTCTAGACCCTCATAGAGCTAGAATCATGCAGCATGTACATTTGGATTCTTACACTCTGTTTATGAGATTTGTCCATATTTTCTGGTTCAGTTGTTCCTTATGAGTGGTTGGTTCTCCACCACTTACTTGTTGATGAATATCCTGGGTTCTTTCCATTTGGGGCCTCTAACTAATAAATCTATTGAACATTCCTGTGCCATATGGAAATAAGCCTACAAGTGGAATTGCAAGGTCAGGGAGTAGGGATATGATTAACTTCATGAGAAACTGTCCAACTGTTTTTCCAAAGTAGTTTCACCATCTTATACTCTCGCCAGCACTAGTTTTATCTTAATTTGCAATACTTTACATTAAAAAAAAAACCCTTCTGTTGCTGTTTTAGACCCATTTTCAAAGATACTCAAGGCTCTCTGGATCTGGATGGGAGATTTTCTCCTTTGTATAAGCAAGATAGCAGCAAACTTTCAAATGAAGACATTCTCAAGTTGCTTTCAGAATATAAGAAGTAAGTATGTTTAGAAATTGCACTAAATCTATATAATAGATGAATTTTCATTCTCAAAATTATGACTACAAATCATAAGTGGGAATAACTGCTTAAAATTTTAAGTGAGTTTTAATGGTGGCATCTGGAAATCATGGTATAATGTATATCTGAAGAAGTGTGAACATAGACTCCCAAGTTATATACAATGTTGTAAGCCACTGTTGCCTCAAAGAAAATAATCGCATAAAACTTGGAAGTTTGGATATAGAGTAATTGATGCATTTAGTAATTATAATTGTTAAGTATTCTTGCTTTATCCCCTAGGCCAGAGAAAACCAAATTGCAGATTATTCCTGGGCAGCTAAACATCACAGTAGAATGTGTTCCTGTGGATTTGTCAAGTAAGAAATTCATGTGTTGCAAATAAACATTAAGGGCTGTATTTGAGTCTCGGTGCTTGATCTTCTCACTCGGGTTTATGTGTGTATTTGTTTCCTGAGGCTACTGTCAGAAATCGTTGCAAACAGTTGGCTTAAGATAACAGAAATTGATTCTTTCATAATTCTGGAAGCTAAAAGTCAGGCTCAGTGTTGGCTGCAGGGTTCTGCTCCCTTTGAATGCTCTAAGGAAGAATCATTCCTGGCCGCTTCTTGGCTTCTGGTGGCTGCCCACGGTCCTGGGCCACCTGGCTTTGCAGCTGCATCCGCCCGTCTGTCTGCCTGTCATGTCAGGGCCATCTGCCCTTTGCGTCCTCCAAGCTTTTCGAAGACCACCAGTTATCACTGGACTTCAGGCTTCCCCCATACTCCATATGAGCTCATGTTGATGAGTTACATCAGCAAAGACCTATTTCCAAATGATTTGAAGGTATATGAATTTCGGGGGACGCATTATTCACCTCAGTATTAGGTAATGAGTAGCTATAGATGAGTAAGGGAATTCAGTTGATGCTGTTTCACCGACGACATGATGTGAGTTTACCCATGTTGCCATTTGCCTTAGATAAATCTCACTGATTTGGGGTTCAAAGGGCACATTTCTTTTTCTTTTTCAACAAAAGATTTATTTTTATTTATGTAAACAAGAACTGGAGTATAGGTCAGAGATGTGGGGGGGGGGGTGAGAGGACTCACCAGAGACAAGAGTGGGGAGCAGAACAGGCAGATTGACTGAAATACACTGCTGAGGGGAGCAGCGGGGTTCAGGAGAGGTCTGCTGAGCCATGTGGGTCACCTCCCTGGCTGGGGATCAATTTGTGCTTCAGTGGCTGGTGATAGCTTGATAGCACTGAGGCTGAGACTTCAAGCTCTGTGCCACTAGGGAGACCCTGAATTTCTTTACTTGTGTAGAGGGAAAAAAAAAAATTAGACACCAGGAGAAAAATGAGCAGAAGATACAAAAGGTATTTTGCAGGGAATAGAATGAAGTGGTGAGGAAATAAGTGAAAAATGGGCAGTCTTAGTAATAAAGCCTCTAATATAACTTAAAATAAGATGAGTTGCACAGCTGTCGATATATAATAATGCTTAAAATGGAAATATGTAATGCTGGCTACATTTGGGAGACACCCTTATGTGTCATAAGCAGGAATGAAATTTGGCAATAGATACTCAGAGATGTCCATGACAAATGCTTTTCAATTCTGTTGAGTAAGCGTTTATTGAATATCTGCTAGGTACTTTAAAATTATGGTGCTTAGGGGCCCTCCCTGGTGGCACAGTGGGTTAAAGCACAGCACTGCAAGCGAGCCACAGCCGCTTCAGTGCCAGTTTGAGCCCTAGCCCCGGAAGTGTTGCACATGGTGTGGAAGACATGGTGTGGAAGACTGCCCCGAACAGCCCGCTGCTCCCCTAAGCTGTGTACTTTGTCATCTGCCTGTTCTGCACCTCACTCTGTCCCTGGTGAATCCTCTCACCACCCTTGTCCCTCTGGCTTGCAACCCAGTTCTGTATGCACAAATAAATAACTTTTTAAAAAATTATGGAGCTTAAAGTCTAGAAAAAGTGACAGATAATAAACAAGAAAACAAACAAATGAGTAATTTCAGCCTGTGATTGAGCTGGACTGCTTTGAAAGAGCGGTCATGTCACCCAGTCAGCGGTGGTGGTTGGGCCTGTTAACTTCTACTCTGAGGGCAATGCCTCTGTAACACCCTGGAGGTGAGTGCGAGCATGCTTTGTAGAAAGTGAGCTAGTGTTGCTCCAGTGTACCGTGTGACGTAGTGCATGGAGGTGAAGTAGAAAAATAGGAGGGAATTGCATCATCAGGGAATTGTATAAACCACAGTCAGTTCTTAAAGATTGGACTACTCTACGTACAAGGGGAAGTCACTAAGGCTTACAAGCAGGGGGGAGCAGTTTATATTTTAAGCCATGTCAAGCTATTTTAATGCATTAATTCCCCTAAAGAAATCATTGGAAATAAGAATATCGTTAGTAAAAGGCAAAAGACTTGTACAATATGAAGAGAAACAAGAATATTAAAAATCATTTGAAATGTAGACAGTTTCCGTACAGAGATGTTCTTTGCAGTGTTGTTTATGTTGGAATTTGGAAACATTGGGAGTTTAACACTGTCAGTGTGGCTAGGGCAATTACGGTGTACAGATGTCATGGACTTTTATCCAAGAACAGTGACATTTACAAAGAGGTCAAGGAATAAGACAGCAAATAAAATGTCCCAAGAAACAGGATAAAATTCCTCAGATACAGTAGAATTTTTGTATGGTTGTATAAAACACGCACAGAAAGATTGAAAGAAAGTATGTCAAAACAGGAACAATAGTTGTCTCTGGGTGGTGGAATGGCCACTTAGTTCAGTATATCTTGTTCTGTGTGTTATATTTACATGTAAATACTGGAGTCTAGGTAAACATCACTGTACTAATCAGCAAAAACCAAATCCAGCAGAAAATAAACACCTTGACCTTGGTTCCGATTCTATCTGGGTCTTCTTCATCAGTGTGGCTTCATAGTATGGACACAAAACCACCTTAGAGCCCCCTCAGTCTGTGAATAACCTTTACCACAGTGGGTATATACAATAACATTTGCTGCAATACATCTCAGAGACTGTGTTGTTCACCTTTGGGAGTATTGAATTTATTATTGGTAACACATCATAAGATCTTTATTTTCAAAAGCCTTCCATTATTTTGGGGGTGAAAATTTGCACCTGCACCAAGTTAACTTTTTAAAACTGACTAGCCATGAGCTAATTGAAGGTATAAATTCACTGTTATTTTCCTGATACCAATAAAATTTTGCAGTGAAAGCTAAATCGCAGCCACTGGAGGAAAAAAAAAAAACGTAATGGACTTCTCTGCAGTTTAAATTTGTCAAAATTATGATGTGTTATATTTGGCAAATCACTGTACATTGAAAATGTAATAGCAATCCATGTCTGGTTTGAAGGGTTCCACTAAAATGAGCATCAGACTACTTCTTTTAGGTTCTCAAAGTGCTTGTATGAATTTTTGTCAATAAGATTTCTGTTTTTTTAAAATCACTCTTTGAGAGCACAATCAATGTTTATTTATATAAATGCAGGAATGTGTTCATGATTCTTAAATTTTATTCCCTTGGCCTTCTTCTTTTTCTGCTGTAGATTGCATTACTTCTTCATATGTGCCCCTGAAGCCTTTTGAAAAGAATTGTCAAAATATTACTGTGGAAGTTGAAGAGTTTGTTCCAGAAATGACAAAATACTGTTATCCATTTACTATTTACAAAAACCATCTGTATGTATATCCCTTGCAATTAAAATATGATAGCCAGAAAACATTTGCCAAGGTAAACAGTGTAAACTATATGTTTTGTGGTAAAAAAATGTTATTTATAATCTTCTGGCTTAGTGACTCATTTGGAATGATTAATCATTTCAGGCAAGGAACATTGCGGTCTGTGTGGAATTCCGGGATTCGGACGAAAGTGAGGCCAGTGCTTTAAAGGTTTGTTTGTGTTATTGAAACCTATATATTTTTAGTAGAGATAGAGCTTATGGTACCTCAGTGTTTCATACATGAAATTTAATTTGGTTAAACAGCAAAAGGTGTCTTAAAGGTATATATGCAATGCTGTCTTTTTTGTTCTTACACCATAACTGGAAAGATCAGTGCAATATTAATGACAAAATGGGGTTGGAGTATAGCTATAAAAATGGGTGAGCCTATTGTCCCAGATTTTTGCCTTCGATCCACTTTGAGTTGTCATTGTTCTGATGCCCAATCATAAGGTCATTTTCTCTTTTGACCTGACAGTTTATAATAGGTCCACCGGAGGACTGAAAAGTCCTGTGTCCTTGAAGTCAGAATGGACTGCTTTGATGGAGATAGGACTTCTGCTCTGATGGGCCAAATGGTGCCTCCCAATTTGGATTCATGATCTGTGAAAAGCAGAACCCCCGTGCCACCCAAGAGCACAACCGTTAAATACCTGTTGTTATACAGTGCCTAAATATCCTCATTTTTTAGAACTGGGCTTTGCTTGCTTGTCCATTCATCAGAGGCTGAAGGGGAAGTCAGAACATCTGATTATCATAGAGTGTTTCTCTGGCTCCATGAGCTTGAGCTTGAATCCAACCACCTCAGAGAACAGGCTGGAATGCCCTCACTGGGTAGTTGAATATTTAACAGCCCCAACCTTTAAAAGACTTTCACAGAGAGACCTAAATTAACTAAAGGATGAGCTAGTCCAAATTAGATTTGTTTTCTCTGATTGTCCCTTCAGTGGAGATGAGAATAACAGTTCCTTTTCGTCCATGCAATACCCTTTTGTATACTTAACGATTCTTAGGTTACCTCACAGCAGTTCTTGAAAATTGCCTTCATAACCGTAGTTAAGGAGAACTGGCTAGGCACAAATAAGGTGTCTCGATTTCACTCCTTCGCTAGCCGAGATGCTGGCTCTGAAGTAATGGAGTGAGGAAATTAGTACCTTGGCACTGAGTCTGTATTCATCCTGGAGCTTACTGGGCCTATGGAAGTGTAAAACTCACTCTAGAAATGCAATGGGATCTTTTCCATGGAACCATAGCAAGCTCTACAGTCATTTTATTGCTGTAACAGAAAATCAGTGACTTTAAATGTGACCCATGAAGGAAGAGGACAGTAAGCTTATCTGTAATTTAACAGATATTCAAACTCTAATTCCTTTCATCTAGGAAAGTGTCTGCTGTTTATCTTTTATTTTTAAACCCATCACCTTGCCCACAGAACAACAAGCATTTGGCAAATGTTGCTGACTGGCTGAGTGGAGCTTCTCACATTGAGAGATGCAAATGGCATGAGAGAAGGAAGCCTGAGCTGCTTGGGTTGAGATCCTTCCAGATGATTAGTCTTACTGTCAACCATGTTGGGATTGGTTTTCTTTGATGGCTTGAAATTCAAAAGCATTCAGGCAGCCAAATTAGGTGACATCTGGGGTGGTGCCTGGAGGGATTGTAAATGATTCGCAATTTGCAGGCTCATAGGGAGAACCGGGCACGCTTGGCCATGACCTTGTGCTCACAGCCACGTCTAACTGTGTGGGATTCTGTAGTGTCACGTTTAATGACCTGCATGGAGAGTGGTGACTCCGTTTGCTTCTTTTGCAGTGTATTTACGGAAAACCTGCAGCATCTGTTTTTACCACAAACGCTTATGCTGTTGTCTCGCATCACAACCAAAATCCAGAATTCTATGATGAGGTAAACATATTATTCTGACATTTGTGAAATGCATTGGGCTCTGTTGTTTCTTTTGAGTCATTTCCAACATTTTATCTGCACTTTCAATCCCAAATATTTTGCTCTATGAAAAATTGAAAATGTCCCTTTAAAACAAAGGGCCACTGCCTGCGTGGTGCCCTTTGGCAGTGCAAGACTTCCCCAACAATGAAGTGGCTCTGGCATGGGATAACAACATAGGGAACAAACGCTAGACCGAAACTAGGCTAGCCCTTGCTTGGACAACAGCTGGCTCCATGGCCTTGAACAAGTCACTTCCCCCTTCTAAACCTCCATTTCCTTGGCTTTAAAATGAGAACTTAAGAGATTTCTGAAAGCCCTGTGAGCTTTTTCCTCCAGGGGTTCTTCGTGTGGGAAGCTGTAGCCTCTCTGGAAGTGAATTCCTTCAAGAGACATGGCAGCGCATCCAGGCCACCAGAACCACACTGGCGGTGCTAAATGCCTCAGTGCTACAGACCTGAAGTAGTCTCAGCACTCCCTTCTTCACGGTCTACCTATCCATCCCTGTCTCTGCCTCTTTCCTTCTTCCCACTTTTCTATATCTGTGTGTCTGTGTACACCATCTCTCGTAGCATCTCTGTCACAGCCTCCTAGTCTGGCTGTATCTGGCTTGTCCAAATCTACAGACTGTTTTTCATTCCCACGTCTCCATGGATCCTGGATGTGCGTCCCCAGCCAGAAGCGCTGCTGTTTTCTGCTTCTCAGTCCTGATGTCTCCATTCCTGCCTTTGTCTGTAGCATTCCCCGCTGCTGTCACCACTCCCCAGGCCCACCTTCTGGTGGATGGAAGCCCTGCATCCCAGCGTTTAGGCCTTGCTCATTTCTTTCCCAGTCTTATGCTTCTGGCTCTGTGAGGAATGGGGAGGAAGTCAGTGGTGCCTGGTGCTTTTGCCACTTGGGGAGGGAGTATGCCCCTATTTATGTGCAGTAGAGCATTAGACACCCAGATGGTCTGGATGCTGGGAACAGGCATGGTCTGTGGTGAAATATACCTACCAGAGAAATTAGTTACAACACCCAAACCAGGCCTTGTGTGAATGATAATTAGGCCAGCTGTCCATCACCAAGCTGTTTAATATGTCCTCTCTGACCAACACCAGTCACTGCAGAAAACTGATATGTAGGAAGTAAAAGGATGACGGAATAAAGAGGCTTTTCGGTCATTCACTATATGTTGACCAGGAGAAGAGTGAGTGAATGTGTGTGTGAGTGTGAGAGAGTGTGCGAGCGAGTAAGTGGATGCACATGCTTTCCTGTGCAGATCTGTTCATGTTTGTTAATCAAATCTGTAATTCATCTCTTACATACATGGGGGGGGCACTCACGGCAAGCATTCTGTTGGGCTGAGATTAGAAAATTCCTGGACATGTCTATGGTCAAATAATTAACTTTTAGGACTCAACTCAGGTGTCATAGGTGACTGTGTTCATTTCTGTATTCAAGACTAAGGCTTTTTATTTTTAAAGAAATTTACGTAAAGTTTAACTTGTAGATACCTTAATAGCATAGTAACTTTTTGTACTTTGGGGGGCTTATGCTTGCTTTTTTTTCATGCTGAGGAGGACAGGGGTTTAGAAAAAAGTTACCTTTCATATTCAATATTATATTAGATGGATTGCATTCACTGCCTCAGATAGAATTATATTGGGCTGTGAGGATGTGTTATTTTGTTCCAGTGTTTAAGCAAATCCTGCTGGCACTTTTCATCCAGGAGAATTCCCTGGACTGTCCAGCAAAATAATTAATTGAACTTTCACACCCCAGGAGAATACCACTGTCACACTGAGTAGAAAAACATTCGGAATATATTTAAATGGTAGCTTTTTTCTGGCCTCATGACCTGTCATTTAGAAAAGTGTGTCACTGAGAAGTATGAGGAGAATGCATTACATGTCTGACAGTCCAGGTTGATAATTTAAGGCAAACAAAATTCTGTGTATAATGTTGCTGTCATTTCAGATTAAAATTGAGCTTCCCATTCACCTTCATCAAAAACATCATTTACTTTTCACTTTTTACCACGTAAGTTGTGAAATTAACACAAAGGGAACAACCAAAAAGCAGGACACGGTTGAAACTCCAGGTACGTGTGCTCTTAATCTCTCTCTCCAGCTGTCTGAACTGGAATTGTTTCAGATACAACCTCATCAAAAAATTGCTTTCCTGAATTAAAAACTTCTTTGGTAAAGATGAGCCATATTTATTTTCTCATGCTTTCTACCAAATGACATGTCCAAATGCTGGCCAGTGTGCTTCAACTTCTATTAAGTGATTTAAAGCACTGTTGTCCTCTTCAGAAAAAAACACATACTGTGATGCATTATTTGTGGTATTTCTTTGATGTAGCATGGCCCAGCAACCAGAATGTTTCAGTTCTGCTCTTCTACATAGAGGAAAGTGAGCTCACCGCTAGAGGCTTTTTTGAGCCTGAGAGAGGATATTTGGGGGCTGCCCTGATTCCAGCGAAAAAAGAACAGATTGCGTGAACTTGGATAAGCTTTAGTAATCCTGGCCTCATTCAGCAAGATTTACGGTTAATCAGTGGGAAGCATTTCCACAAAAGACCCTGTGAATATGGCCTGTGCCACACCCACTGTGTTGCTAGGACATGGGACTGGGATCCAAGCTAGCCCGGGTCAAATGTAAATTCACTCAGCAAATATGTCTGCATACTTATTATGTGCAAGATAACGTGATAGGGACTATGGCGACTACAGTGGAGATTCAAACATAGATATTGTCTGAAGTGAGTACCAGATCAAGGAAGGGAAATAAGAACTGTGTAGACAGTTATAATACAAGACAGAAAGCAGGTAATCCTGAGAACATGGCACTATGGTCTCCGAGAAGAGAGAGTTTACTGCAGCTGAAAGAGCAATCAGTGGCTGGGTATTCGGCAAGGTTTCTGGGACAAGATGGTGTTAGGGTGAGGCCTTGAAGGGTGGGGCCATGTTTGATAACACAGTGATGACCAGAAGATAGAGGGTTCCAGAATAAAGAACAGCTTGTACGTGTCAGCAGAGTATTGAGGGGTATGGACGGGGCATCACAAGTAGTTTAGGAGGACTGAAGCACAGGGTAATAGGATGTCTGGTTGCAGAGGGTGGTGGAAAACTTGAATGCCAGGCTGGAGACTTGATTTTATTCTGTCATCAGTGTAGGACACTTGAAGCATTATAAACACCAGTAAGAGCTGTTACGCAGGAAGCCCAGTCAAGTAACAATATGATAGGTGAGGTGAGTCAGAGCAGGCAGAAGGAAGGAAGAAGGAAACACCAGCTAGGAGGTGATTAAGGGGCCACACTATGGCAGCAATGGGTCAAAGAAAATGGGCACTGCAGAATTTGTTGGGTCTGGCATGTAACTGGCTACTAGACTAATGATTCAAAGTTAGCACTGAAGTTTCCACAGTGGAAAAGATGGTATTGCCAAGTGGGGGGACTAGGGTAGGGATGGAAGGTTTTGAGTTTGAGGTGCTAGTTGGACAACTGAGTGACGTGTGGGGGGCATCAGGACTGAGTGTTTGGAAGTTCCATTTGTGGAGAGTGTGGCCTTTGGCTCAGGGTCAGGACCTTCAGTGTTGAGAAGAAATCTGGCAGGGCCACGTGAACAAACCTATGATGGTGTGTCTTCTGAGAGAGAAACGACTAGCCGTGGCCAAATCCTGGATGGAAGTGGCCAAGACGCTCAGTGGAGCACAGGAGGGTTATTCTGTGTGCTGCTCATCACTTTTGATGATTTCTCCTGTAAGTGGCTTCACACCTTTGAGCCACATGGCATGAGTTTGACATTGCCCCTTCCAAGTGCCCTTTTGTGGGTTTTCACGGAGAGCACCCTTCGCCATATTCTCATTAATTCACTGGGCAGAAATGTTGCCCATGTGGTTCCCTGGAGACAGAAAGTGGTTGTCAAGGACTGGGAGAAAGGTACTGGGGGAGTGACTTCTAAGAAGTAGTTTTGTGGGGGAGGTGATAACAGAGTTCTGAAATTAATGGTGGATGTCACACCGTTTTGTGCATATTCTAAAAACCACCTATATTTCAAACTTTACATAGATGAACTGTGTGGTACTTGAATTATATCAGTACAGATCTCTATGAGGGAAACAGATGTTACTTAAGAAGAAGAAATGCTCCTATTTTCTGGGCTGGAAATATTTGGTCATTTGTCCAATTTTCAGTTTTAACTACTTTGACAGTCCTTTCGAATGGTTCTGCTCCTGTTACTCTCCTGGGCTTGTTTGTTTGTTTAACAAGAAGTGATTTGGCTAAATCATTTCTGAAGTTGTAAAGATGCCCTTCAGGCATGTTTCAGTTTCATGAAAGTCATTTAGTCTACGTTGAGAAAGCATTGAGAAAGCAACGTATTTGTCTTCTTTTAAGAATGAAAGCCTTTGCCAAATTAAACACGTGAATGAAAACATTCTAACCAGATTTGTGTTGACGTCTGTGTTCACAGTATAAGCACACACACACACACACACACACACACAAGGAATTTTAGAGTCCAAAATCAATGACTCTGGAAAGTGCTCCGCAGCTAACACCCTCGCTCTCATGGGCCAAAACTCAGTCCAGAGCAAGCTTTTTTTTTTTTACAGCTGAGCAATAAGCACTGCAAACCCACAGTAATCTCTACAATGGAAATACTGACAACGCTCAACTTGAGCAGCACAGATGGCTCCAGCTTTTTCAGCTAGAACAGGATGAGTTTTTTAATGGAAAGCCAAGAGACTCTTTTGGGTAGAATTGTTCAAAACTAGAAAGACTGGGGACAATCAGTGGAGTCAAATCGTCCACACTTGGCCAGTTACAGAAGGAAGAGTTGTCATCAGGAAAACTGCCCACAGCGGCGATTGATGCCACATGCCTTGGATGAGGATGGAGTATAACCCTGACCCATGATCTTCGTTTCTCATAATCCCCGGCTTAAGGTTACTGTAAGATAAATTCTGGCACACAGTGGTTTCTGTTTGTATCATCTCAGATACTGGTGGTATAAAGATGGATACAAGACAATGGAACCTTTCAGAAAGCCTGTGGACCAAAGTGTATTCCCCAAAGTGGGAGGATAATGATACTGATACATTTTGAAATTTTTAACCTAGATTACCTCATGTGTGATCTCTCAAAAACTCTAGCTCCAAGTAAGACTGCATTTGGTGTTCTTCTCTTTACACTCAGGGAAATAAGTCCAATAAGCTGTTCGGGGCCAGGCAGCGATCAGGCAGTGATCCAAACTCATCCCCATTACTCACGTGTTCCACACCAGAACACCCACGTATAGAAGTCCTGCAACGTCACGGGTCGGCCCTGCTCTCCCCAGCAGCCAGAGAGTTGTGTGGCTAATTGCATTTGCTGTTTCACATCTCATGGTTGATTATTGTCTTGGCAGTTGGGTTTGCCTGGGTACCTTTGCTGAAGGATGGCAGAATCATCACATTTGAGCAGCAGCTTCCGGTTTCAGCCAATCTTCCCCCAGGCTACTTGAATCTGAATGATGCCGATTCAAGAAGGGTAGGAAAAGATCTGCATTTGTTGAAGTAATCATGATTAAAGCTTTAAAAAGTAGAATTCTTTGGGTCTAGATCGTAGCTATTCCAAGTATGGCCAGGAGGAGTACTGGACCACTGTGAAGGTAAGTATGGAAGATGATGTGTAGATACCGTTATAACAATTTTAAATCCTGGGGCTCAGATTATTTATATCATATAAAAATTTCATTTCTGTTTTTATTTATACATGTGTGTGTTATGTGTTTATATATAAGAATCTTATAATGTCTGTTTTTAGTTTGTTTTTTAAGATTTATTTATTTGTGCATACAGACAGAACTGGGGTACAGGCCAGAGGTGCAGGGGTGGTGAGAGGCTTCACCAGAGACAGAGTGGGGAACAGAACAGGCAGATCAACGAAGTACATTGCTGAGGGGAGCAGCGGGCGGGTCAGGAGAGGTCTGCCACACCATGTGGTCACCTCCGGGGCAGGCGGGAATCGAACTCATGCGGAAGTGGCTTTAGCTTCTTAGTGCTGTGTTTTAACTCACTGCACCACCAGGGAGGGCCCTATATATCTGAATTTTGTTTTTAATTTTGGTTAAAATTCATAAAAGTGCCTGAAGAATTGGAATTTCAAAATTATTTCAGCTATACTTATTCTGAAGGCTGCTTATTTTCTCCAGTAAGTCCCTTTGTATGCAACTGACATTCATTTCTGGAAAAAATGTTGAAATGTGTAAAGGGTTATATCTATCACTCATCTCTCCACTACAGTGTGTATAGAAACTGAAGCCTATTTTCTGTCTACAGCAATCTAATGTGGATATTAAATGGGTAGATGGAGCAAAGCCTTTGTTGAAGATTAAAAGCCATTTAGAGTCTACCATTTACACTCAAGTAAGTTTTATCACCTGAATCTTGTTGATTTTAATACTTGAGTATATTTCTTGATTAAAATAGACTATATTCGATTCTTACAGCTTTTGAGATGCTGTGGCCTGAAAAACTGTCTTAATGATGATATCATTCTTAATAATAGCAAGTCAGATTTTATAAATCTTTTCAAACTACAAGTCCTTTTATTCCTCACAAGTGAATGGAACCTCATAGAACTCTGAAAGGAATGTGGAGCTATCACACCACCTTTTTATAGATGAAGGAACAAGGCTGGGGCAGGTTAGAGTACTTACCCAAAGTCATACCAATAATTAAAGGAAAACACCAGAATCCGAATTTCATTATTCTTGAGAGGGTCCACGCTCTCCACAAAATGAGCGTGTGTATGGATTCGTTACATAACAGCTAGACTCTGTTGTGGGTGATTTGCTATTGCAGTTTGCATAGTGGATGCCTGAGACTAGAATGGTGGCTCGCTGCTGCTATCTTTTCTTCTCAGTCGCCTCAGACCTCCACTCACACAGAAGCAGTCCAACTTCAGCTTATACGCTGTAGTCCAAAAAGAAATTAGATGGGTATTAGTTGGGCATCAATTGTGGCCTACCCAGTTTATGTAGAAGCCTGCTCAACTGGCCCAGTTTTCCTACTTTGTGTAGTTGAGTTTTGTTCTTTGTGCTTAGGAGGTCTGTGAGACCACCCAGCTATAGCTGCCGAATCTGCTCATTCGAATACACAGATAAATAGGTTTCAGAGCTGCAGGAGGTGGGAGAGGTAGAGAGCCAGCATTTGAGGGTAATGAATCAAATTTCACATGGCTGTGTCCATCTGCTTTCCAGGATTTACACGTGCACAAATTCTTCCATCATTGCCAGCTGATTCAGTCAGGCTCAAAAGAAGTTCCGGGGGAGCTCATTAAATATTTAAAGGTAAATGAGCATCTTTCTGCAAAAGGCTTGTTCTTCAGGGTTTTTGTTGCTCAATTTTGATGTGGGCGGGGAGAATCAAACTAACACTTGAAAAATAGTTTTGACTGTGTGTCCTCAAGAGACCATTTTGTATTTGTATTTTTCTATCAAGTGGCTCTTTAGAAGCAGGCAGAGTAGCTCCATTAGGAAGAAATTGCTGTAGCCAGATCTTGACAACATATTGTTGAAAATCTCATGAAAATGTTGAACTTGGTTCCATAAATTGATTTTTTCAGTTCTTTTCTCTTCCTGCTGACTGCCCAGTCAAGGTGGAGAGAATGGTGTGAGGGAAAAGAGCCAGGAGAAATGAAGGCACTTTTGTGTGGAATAAAACGTGAAATGATTCATGTATCTGTGGGTGAAAGACAAACAACAGGGTCAACTAAAGAGACAGAAAAGGTTTGTTTCTATGTGTTTTATAGGAGAGACTCTGAAGACGTGCCATATTTAATTGAATGTATGGAGAACCCAAGCCTCTATGTGATCCCTAAGCATTAGGGCTGAAATGTGTGTTCTGGGGCTTCTTGTTGCTGCTTTTGTAAGTCAGCTGCATCAAGTGTGAGGAGTTGGGACTTAAAATGAAGACTATATGATTTTCTTTTGGACATGGTATCACTTAACGCTATTCTCAGGAAGCCAAGTCCATTTCTTTCAGAAAAAGGTAGTGCGACGTGAAATAACATTTAGGGGTTCTGGAATTGTCGTCTGAGTTTGTGTGCCAGACTGTCACTTATTAGCTCTGTGATGGACCTTGGCTTAAGCTACTTAACTTCCCAGAGCCTTTGTTTCTTTATCAGTCACATCCAAACAGCACTAACACCCATCTTTGAGGTGGTTGTCAAACTTAGGGGAGATGGGACATCTGCTGTGTGATAATCATTCATTCCACACTCTTTTCTTGAGAGCCTGCCACGAGGCAGGCATTGTCCTGAGCTTTAGGAAACTAAGTGAAGAAAGCAACAATCCCTGTTGTCAAGGATCTTACTTTTCTTGTGGAGGGAGAGGAGCAATAAACAGATTTGTCCGATAGCTGCCTTACCATGCCATGTAGCATGGGGGCTCATACCTGGTGCTGGTAAGTACTGCCGAGAAAGGGAGTAAGGAATGATAAGGGGTTCATCTTTTAGATGAGCTGGTCAGAGAAGATGTCTCTGCTGGAGTGACATTTGATAGACTTATGAGGTGTCAACTATGGGGTTTTAGGGGACAGCGAGTAGAAAGGCCCAAGGGAGCTTGCTTGGTGTGCTCAAGGCGCAGCAGGGACTCAGTGGTGGCTGGCACATGGAGTGATAGGCCTTCACGTTGGAAAAGATAGCTGGATAGGTGGTCGAGTAAGGCCTTGTAGGCTATGGTGATCAAGTTGAATTGTAATCTGATGAGCTATGATACAACTGGGTTTTAAAGTATCATTCTGCCTACCTTATGCAAAATAAGTATACAAGTATGGCAGTATAGAAGCAGGGAGATAATCAATAAATCGTGGCTAGTATTCTTAATGATCATTAAGAGGTATAATATCTAACTTCCAAACCTTTCCGTTGGGTAACATTTAGAATTCCAGTTCTGTGTATAAATAATTTGTCTGTTAATGTCATGGGCTTTTCTTCCAGTGGAGGGAGTTCTGTAGAAGTTTTAATGGAATATAACATCATTATCATATACTAGTTTCCTAAAATGGGGTTGAGGAGGGGAGGGCTTCTCACCTTTGTGTATTCAAGGGTGTGAAGTTTCTGATGTTTGTATGAACTATGTTTGCCCTCTAGTGGCTATGTCATATGATTGTTGAAATAGCTAAACTTAAGGGGATGTTAGTGCTGAAGGGAATTCAGGAGTTTTTTTGTTTTACAGATGAGGAAAGTGAAGCCTGAGTAGAGGCCGCTTATCTTTGGTCATTCAGCTTATCAGTAGCAGGACTGAGGGAGCCTTAAGCATATCTCAGCTTCTAGTCCCATCTTCTTTCTCTGTCAAATCTAGCTCTCTATTATCCCTGTAAATGATCTCATTTCACCAATTTATTTAACATCCATTTGTTGAGCTCTTATATTTTCCTAGACACTTGTTTTATATTCTCCTAGACACTGAGGAGAGATTACTTAGGGTCAGGAGACAAGTGGTAAGGACAGGAGACAATGACACTCATAGGGCAAATTACATTGTACGTTAGCTCTACAACTGATATGCCCAAATAAATTGTCAAGTTCCTGACACAATTTCTAAGTTAAGGGTTCAGTGAACTGAGGAACCATTGAGAGGGTTCCTACTTTGTTCCTTGTTTTATTCATCGATTCATTCACCAATGTTTATTGAACACCTACTATGGGGCACTGGGAATGGAATTGGGGAGCAATCAGACTACATATCTGCTCTAGCTGGAATAGAGAGATTAGAAATGAGTAATGTTAGATGGAGGTGAGTGCTGTGAAGAACATAAGACAGGGCAATGGGGCTAAAACAACCGGCAGTTCATACTAGAATGCATTGTCAAGGAAGACCTGTGTGAGCAGATGATAGATATTTCAGGCTGAAAGGAAACCAATGAGAGGAAGGCAGTGTTGCGGAGACAGCTAATCTTCCTCTGCCTTCTGGGCCCATAAACTGGAAAATAACAAAATGGACACGAGAGATTTGCAAGGGCCAAGAGAAAATTAAGTTACACTTGCAAGGGGGCCTGTAGAGTATGAACTCACCTTCTGGTCCTTCCAGTGAGGTTATATACACTTTAGAAAGGGGGCATAGCATTTAAGAGGGGCAAACAGAACTAAAAGCTTTGCAGCTTAAAGGAAGAGGAATTTTCCAGGGTTCATCTGCATGTGCATCAAAAACAGACCTGGTAAGCCCTTTAGTCTGCGGTGACATAAGGCTCTTCCCCACCCTTCCCCTCCCCCTCTCCCTCCCCATCCCATCATAGAGAATTTATGTTTTCAGAGAGAGGTTGAGTCAAAAAACATTGTATTTGGATTTTCTGTCTCTTAATTGCTTTAGATTTGATATAACCAGCAACTCCACTTAGGCGCAGTCTGTCTTTAACTCCAACAGCCACCGGTGATAAAGCTCTAAGCCTAACGAATAGGGGCAAACACATTGCAAGGCTGTGTTTGAAGGACACAAGAGAGACGATGTAGACAGGCTCAGCAGAGGGGAAGGTTGGCATGCCACGAGTTGGGAGACATAGGCAGGGTACTTGTAGGCGTGGGGACTCCTTGACAGCTTTTGTGGTGGTTGGCTTTGCTTGTTCCAAGAGGAAAATGGCAGTGTGGAATTTGCCTTTCATAAAGACTGCCCTGGCTCCTGTGTTGAGTATAAGTTCTAGAGAAGCAGTGCTGGTGGCAGGATGAATCCCACACAGAATAGCCAGCTCTCTTTTCCATCTGACAGTGTTCTGTTTTTAACCCTCAGGTGTCTCTCTGAAGCCTCACCTCACATTCCTCCCTCACTTGCAGACGCGGTTGCTTCTTCCTTTGTGCATTTGGTGCACACCGCTTTGTACTGTGGACCATTTGTACTGCAGTGGTTTCCTTCTGTGTCTTCCCTGCCACCCTCCCCCCACCCCGCATCCACGCCCCATTAGACCAGTAACTGCAGGATGTTAGGAACCACATTAGTTTTGGATACACTTGAAAGTTCATTCAGTACCCTTTAGTGAATGAGTGAGTGAATGGGTGCACTGAAGTTGGGGTTTGACCTAAACCTGGAAACAGGGCTAGGATTGAGTTTTAAAGTCTGAACAGGGGCCGGATGCCTTTGGTACACCCAAGGAGCAGTCCAGACAGCAGCTTGGCCTTGTTGGGCATGATGAGCTGGGGCTGAAAATTTATGTGGGCCTTAAGAAACTCGGACTTAATACCTTAGGTCAAACTTTCTTAAACCTGGAACCATTGACATTCTGGGCAGGATAATTCTGGGCACCATTGACACTCTGGCAGGGCCGTCTTGTGCATTGTGAGATGTTTTGCAGCATTCCTGCTTTGAGCCACTAGATGTCAGTAGCACCCTCCAGTTGTGACAGGCGAATATGTCTGAGCTTTGCTGATTGTCCTGAGGGATAAAGTGGCCTCAGGCTGGGAAGCATTGGCTCAGGTAGTGGAAGGCATAAAGAAATCTTGGCAGGAGGTGATCTGATTTAACCAGTATTTGAGGAAGATGGTTTATCTTAATTGAGGAAATGTTGATTTACAACATTTTGTCTGATTAAGGGACTAGGTCCCTTCTATTTCAGGTATCTGTGACCATACCACCGCCACCACCAAAATGCCCATAGTCCTTTTTCCTAGCCCCCAGGGCCCTCTCCTCCTTTGTCCTCAACCCACCTGTCCTTCCACCTAGTAACCTCAATTCTTTAGCCGTATTTATAGATTTCTTTGGGTTTAGTTTTGTCAGTTCCTTTGTTTTGTTTCTTTGTTTCCACATATGAATAAAATTATTAGGCATTTGTCTTTCCCTTTCTGACTTACTTGACTTAGCATTATCCCTTCCAGTTCGAAGAGGATGAATTTGTAAAGAGCTGGGCATTCGAAGTCGAGCAAATTGTATAGGGACCTATTCGGAAATTAAGTAGACACATTTGGCTATAAGTTGGAGGGCCTTAAAAAAAGGGGGTGAGATGGCAGTAAGCATAGAAGAGAGGGGCAGAAGCACACAGGAACCGGAAGGAAACACCATTTCCTTGAGCTCAATATCTTTCTTCAGGCTTCCGATGGAAAGGAAGCTACACAGAGCTCTGGGGGCACGGAAAGGTCATTGTATCAGTCTAGTTGAGAGTCCTGAAAAGGGATGGCGAGAGAAAGGCTGGGAAAATGTAGCAAAAGTAAGGGAGACTGTGAAGATGAGTACTGAATACTGAGTACAGAGACTTGTCTTAATCGTTGCTCTGTCTCCCGTAGTATTAAGCACTGAATTGTAGAAAGGGGCTCAGTGGAATGTGTTTCCTTTTTTAAAAAAAAGATTTTATTTATGTGTAGAAGAACTGGGGTGTAGGCCCAGAGGTGAGAGGATTCACCAGAGACAGAGTAGGGAAATACACTGCTGAGGGGAGCAGCAGATGAGACAGGAGACGTCTGTTGCACCATGTGGGCCAGTTTCCTGGCCGGGGATCGAACTGAGGCTGTAGGGTGCTAGGGCTGAGACTCAACCTCCAGTCCACCAGGGAGGCCCCACTTGTTGCCTCTCTTTGTTTGACCAGTTAAATGAATTATTGAATAAATGTGAGAGAAAGGAAGGCAGAAGAGATTTGACAAATTTTGTTGCTAGTATCCCTTCGGTGTTCTTCATTTTCATGGTGACTCGCATGTCTCTAGAGATGGAATGTTAGCACTTTGAGGAAAGAAGGCAGACCTGCCTCAGTTCTGTAGATGGTGTCAGCATAAAGCCAGTCATAAGCATGCTGTATTGAATCCCACTTATCAACAGGTTAACTGATGGCCCACATTCCCCCCCCCCCAAACTCTGAAGGCCAGGCTGCCAGTCAGCCACTTCCTGGGACCTCCTAACACCTAAACTCCCCACCCTAATTGAATATTTTGCCAAGAATTAGTTGAGTTTATCCCGAAAGCCTATTTATTCTAGTTGTACTTACTATTTTCACTAAGGTATGTTATAGTAAACAAACTGATAAAACCAGGGGCTAAACTACAGATATGAGTAAAATAATTAGCCAGGTCCCCTATCCAATGAAGCTCACATTTATGTGAGCTTGGAGCTTAGTGGCTATTTCTCTTGTTACTTGATTTTTTGTTATTTCACCTTTGGAAATGATTATTTCTGCATTTTCATAACTAATAATGACTTATTTTAGTGTTTGCATGCCATGGAGATCCAAGTCATGATACAGTTTCTACCTGTAATTCTTATGCAACTCTTCCGAGTGCTCACAAATATGACCCAGGAAGATGACGTTCCTATCAACTGTACCATGTGAGTTTCTGTGTTGTGACATGGAGAAGCAATTTTTGTTTCCTTTTGCAGTTCTTCACTTTAAATATAAATGTATCTTCCAGATGGGAACCCCAGACTCAGAAATCTAATAAGTTTTCTCTAGTGTCATGCCTCTCAGACTGGGGGACTTGTGTTTCCAGGGGTAGGTGGGGCTAAGAGTCATAGAATAAACTACCATTTTTCTTAACCAGTTCCAAAACTTGGCTACATGTTACACTCACCTGGGGAGCTTTTAAAAATGTCTTCTACCACTTTCGTATCAGCTAAAATCTGATTTGAGGGTAGAACTTGGCTTCAGGACAGTAGTTGTCATTTGTTATGTTTTGGGGGCGGGGGGAGTGCCAAAATACAAAAATTTAAGAATTATTGTTCTTGATGAAGGTTGTCCAATAGAACTTTCTTGCAATCATGGATATGCTCTCCACTTGTGCTGTCCAGTATGGCAGTCACTGGCCACAGTTAGCTTTTGATTTGAAATGTGGCCAGTGTAGCTGAAGATTGAGATTTTACTGGTAGTTGATATTAATGACTTTAAATAGCCACATGTAGCTAGTGGTTCTCATATTGGGTAGAATGGCCAATGGCTAGCAAATTTGATTTAGAGTACTTTTTTTTAAATATGAAAATTATAAACTCCATGGATGGATGGTCTAGTAGTTGCAGAATGAATCTGAAATTTGAGATTAAAACAGGAGATTTCAAAAACATTTTGAACTGCTTAGTTCTGGATATTTCTGGCTTTGCTGCTCTTGGCAGCTACTGCAACAGCCTCTTCCATCAGGACTCAAGCCACAAACACTGCATCACATTTACTCTTTGTTGTTGAGGATGATCCTGCTGAAAGTGTAAAAAGTATTACTATAGTCCAGTGGTTCTCAGCATGTGGCTCCCATACTGGCAGCATCAGTGTGACCTGGGAACTAATTCAAAATACTAATCATGGAACCTCAGCCCAGACCTACAAAGTCAGAATATCTAGGAGAGAGGCCAAGAATATACCTGCAGTATGATTCTGATGCATACTCAAGTTTGAGAACCACTGTTACATTCTAGAATCTTAAGAAAATTGTATGATTATCCAGTTCCTTTTCTCTTGAATCTCTATCATCACACTTGTCCACTCTCTCTTCTCTTTCCCCCATCTGTTGACATCCCTTCCACCTTTATGTTTCTGGCCTTTTCCTTGTGTTCTCAGCAAAGGGGATGGCATTATTAACCCTATTCAGAATCTTCAGTGTGGGAGCTATGACCATGTATCCAGAGATTTAGAAAGAGACGAAGCATCTGGGATGCCCAAATAGAATATCCTTCCTTTGAACCTGGAAATACATTCTCCAAGACCCTGTGCACGTTAGATGCTGAAACCTTTGTTAAGCCCATACTACCCTTACATCTTAGGTACTTGTCTCACTTTTAATTGTTAGGTATTTTCAGAGTTAGGTGTTTTCACATCAGGTATTTTCAGTGGCCTTCTTTAATTGTGAAACTATAGTAATTCATGGTAGCCTAATATGACTTTCATGAATGTTGTTTCAGGGTTCTCTTACATATTGTGTCAAAGTGCCATGAAGAAGGCTTGGATAATTATTTAAGATCCTTTACAAAGGTTTGTGAAGTAAGCTTTCTTTCTGAACAATTTATTTTCTGTGAGAATTTGTCTGATGGTTCACTTTCTTGGTTTGTAGTATAGTTTCCGGCCTGAAAAGCCAAATCCTCCTCAGACCCAGCTGATACACGAGACCCTGGCTACCACAATGATAGCTATATTGAAACAGTCTGCAGACTTTTTAGCAATTAACAAACTGCTAAAGGTAAGGAAACAGTAGACAAAAGGGCAACAAATTGCCAGCATTTCACTTTTCGTCTTTCTTCGTGTTCTTGGTGTGAGGCCTTTTCCTCAGGTTCTCCACAGAACCTTTACACCCCCCTCCCCCACCATCTACCCTAAGCTGAATGTGCAATAAAAGAATTTTGATCAGCTTGACCTGGGTTAAAATCCTATAACCCCACATCATAATTGTCTAACCTGTAATTTTACAACTCCAAAGTGTCAATTTCTCATTTCTAAAATATAAGAAAAGTATTTAACATGTTTCTGGCACATAGTAGGTTCTCCAATGGTGGCTCCTCTGCGTGTCATTATTTTTACCATTTTTGTTAGTGGTAGAATTTCACTTTCTGGTACCTTAGGGTACGTTTATTGAGTCTTCTCTGTATTCTTCAAATTCACTCTGCAGGCCAACACCTAAGCTGATTGGGCTGACCCTAATGTAGCATGGTCGGAGCTGGGTGGTCGGCCTCCTCACCCCCACCCAGGCACAGGCAATGATCAGTTTCACTATATGTAGTGAATATTAAAGCAATGATAAAATAAAAGATGATTAGTTTTTATCAATGTGGACCATTTAGAAACACTGTCAGCGATTAAAATATCCCCTCCACACAGAACTTTAGTTCATAATACATCATAAGCCCTTAGGTGTGAGCGGCATTACCTTTGTCCAGCATGGTTTAAAAGTATTCGGTGGGACTTTGCTAGTGAATTGTATCACTTTAAAATGTTACTAAAGTCCAGAGAGAAAATCCATATGGTTTCTCAAACTTTGCTAAGGTTGAACATTGGGTCACTATTAAAGATTGATTTTATTCTTTGTCTATTTTAGTACTCATGGTTTTTCTTTGAGATTATTACAAAGTCTATGGCCACATACTTATTGGAAGAGAATAAAATTAAGGTAAGTAAGCTCGAGAAAAATACTTAACCATAGACAGAAAGGTTAATCTTACATGCAGGTAGCAGTGACAAAAGCAATGATAAAATAAAAGATGATTAGTTTTTATAAGTGTGGACCGTTTAGAAACACTGTCAGCGATTAAAATATCCCCTCCACACAGAACTTTAGTTCATAATACATCACAAGCCCTTAGGTGTGATGGATTCTTAGCCTCTAGCTCTTTCAGTTTCGCTTTACAGAAATGGATGTATTGGTCATATGTTATTGGTCTAATCTTTAGATATTCTTCTACATACATTCATTTCCTATAATTATTTAGTACATAAATGCATTACCCTTGAAACTTTGCCTTTGTCTTGTGACTTTAAAATGGCTAAGTTGAAAGCATTCATTTGGGAGAAGAGCAAATAGCAAATCAGAAATAACCTGCTTTTAGAAAGGCCTAAAGCATGTAAAATTAAAAACCTTTTATGCAATAGACATGTTTCTGGAACATAGTATATATATATATATTTAGTTGCCAAAGAAAAAATAAAATAAACAACAGAATGGACCTAAATCTCAGGAATATAATTCCAAAGCCAGGTCAGGATGACCTGGTCTTGTTGCTGTCAGTCAGTTATATTATTGGAGTTCCAGATAGTTGTGGTCTAAGCTGACATCATGGTCGAAGTAGACATCATTTTTAAGTTGGTAGAAAATTATATTCCAGTTAAAAAACATAATGTGTTTAAAAATAAAAATGGCAGTTGATGTGGACTTCTTGCAAGTCTAACCTTTTCTGTGTCTATTTAATTTAAGCTTCCCAGAAACCAGAGATTTCCTGAGGCATATCATCATGTCTTACATTCATTGCTTCTTGCGATCATTCCCCATGTGACTATTCGATATGCAGAGATTCCTGATGAGTCCAGAAATGTCAATTACAGTTTGGCTAGCTTCCTAAAGGTGAGTTAAGAGCAACCAGAAAATGGTAAGGAACTATTCTTCACCAGTATGGTATTAAAGGTCAAAGGAAGAAAATTGCCCACCTCCTAGAGACTCAACGAGGTCTTCATAAACTCTAGACTGAACTGATTCGTCAATTCAGTTAAATAGCCAATTTTGATTTGATCCCCTCTCTCCCACACACACACACACACACACACACACACACACACACACACACACACACAGACGTACACTGAAATATCTAATTAAAGCAGAGGTCCTGTTCAGAAAGCTTAGCCAGAAGGCAGGCTTTGTTTGCTTCACACAATGCTCATTTTCAAATACATTAAATCAGATACTTCAGATGGGGCATGTATTTTCTAGGTTGCCATGATCCCCATTACTTCCTAGTCTACTCCTGATTCTTGTTTTGCATTTAAATTGCTCCTCTGACTCCTGTTGATCTTTTGAGTTTGCAACTCTAAACCAGACTAAATTCAAACTAAACCAGACTGTTTGCAGATGTGATGTGTGTAAATTAATAAAAGCGTTCATTCCCCACCCCCATGAGACGATTTTGTTTGATCGATATCAGAAAACCCTATATTTGTGAAAGCACATTTGTCATTGTTGTATTTCACATTTAAGGGACAATACAAGAATGCAACTGTTCTCTAAAGTAGCCATTGTTTAATTTGTTGCAGAGTATAGGCATGGATTTTTATGGCATGTAGTAAATAACCATTCCCCTCGTTTTCATAACTCTTCACTGTATAGCAATCATATGTTAAGAACCTTGTGGTCAATAATCTGTCTAAGCAATATTAATATCTAACATAGTCTTGTATTTTTTAATTAAAGATTCACAACTAGGTCTCAGATATTCAGCATATTTTTTTGATATAAAACTTCTCTTTGCCAGAATTTTCAGTTCTAGCATCATTACATAATTTTTGGATATTACAAAGCCAAATAGCGACATATCTTTATAAGGTAAACAAAGGCTGAGACTATCGGAAATGTGAAATATCAGTTTCTTCCATGAAGTTGAACATTATTATGGAAAGGGAAGAAAACAGTTGATTGAACTACAGTATTTACCAAATTCAATTCACAAAAATGTATTTGTCTTCTAATGTGAAGATTCCAAGATGTGAAAGGCTGTCTCTGTAATCACATTCAAATACATAAACAAGATAAAGTGTAATACCTGCTACACTGAAAATACAGACAAAATAGGGAAACAAGAAAAAGGGATTATGACAGGCAGTGTAAACAGAGACTAGAAGAGTAGTTTAAAGTTTCCCCAAGATAAGAGTTAAGGATATTTGTTGCAGGTAGACGATCCATGAACAAAGATGAGATTCATGCATGCAGAAATTGTGTAAGGTGAGCAACAAGTACATTGTGCAGATTTTAGAATGTGTCAAGTAGAGCTGGGCAGATCATCCAGTGCAGGTGATGGAAGGCCTTGAACATGAGGCTGAGGTTTCTACTCTTGAGTTTGTAGGCAATGGTGAAATAGCAGAGGTATTTTGTACAGGGGGAGGGGATAAAGTTTATGTATGTATTTGAAGTCGCATTAATTTATAACATTCGGTTTTCAGTGTGCATAGTTATAAATCATCATGTGTCTACACTACACTAAGTCAGCCACTGAGAGTCTAGTTCATCCTTCAGACAGTAGGGCCCTTATGCCCAATGGGCCCACTCCTCTTCATCCTTCTCTTCTGCTTACCACTATTTTGTTCTTAGAGTCTAAAAATTGGGGTTTTTTTCTACTCAGTTCACTTGCTTTTTGCTTGACGTACCCCCTATGATTGAAATCATACAGAACGAACACCAAAGATGTTTATTGAAAGCCTCAGATTAGAGAATGACACTAGGAAATGTGAAAAGCTATTGGAACTATTGGAGAGGAGAATGGTTTCATAGGCCAGGACTTCACAGGACATACAAAAATTTTTTCTTTTGGTCTGAAGAGCTTGCATAGGCCAACTCTCTAGCTTTAACACTTCCCCCAAATAAAGCAGCATAGCTGAATAGATTACGTGTATATATATTATGCATGTGTGTTTATGTATATGCATCTATACGTAGGCATATATGTGTGTGTAGTTTTTTACTTTGAACATTGTACAGTTGAGTCTCAATTCTCATGAAAATTACCTGTCCTTTATCTCTTTATTTAAGATCACCCAAAGCTCTGAAAACTATTCTATTATGTACAAAAGCGATAATGGCATCTCCTTTACATGGAACACATTTTAAAGTTAAAAACAAGAAAACTTATACTAGACAGATTTTTCGAATTATGTAACTAAGAGTGCATTTTGCTTTGGTTTCTATAGCGCTGTTTGACACTAATGGATAGAGGATTTGTTTTCAATTTGATAAATGACTATATATCTGCATTCAGCCCCAAAGACCCTAAGGTAAGCCATAGGTGTGACTGTAGTAGGGGCAGACATTGTAGCCTGAGACCAAGGGTGGCATTTATCCTCCTGGAGGATTTGAAACTGCTGTTTCAAATTCATCTCATTTCATATAGCTGAATGTCAAAGCGGGAAATGTTAAACAGTGTCTTGGGGTGGAGCGGTGCCCCAAGACCAAGTTAGAGGACTCAGCGTATAATCATGCTCTTGGCTAAGGTTCACTAGACTGACATGGGAAGGGTGCTTAGCTGGAAGAGGAAGGGAAAGAGGCATCAAGTGGGGTCTGTGGCACTCCATGAGCGCCTGCCTGCTGTCCAGCAGTGAGCCTGGAGCCAGGCCTGGGCACTATTACTGTTCAGGGAAGCCTGTTGGAGACGTGGGCTTCCGGGATTTATTGGGGGCTGGCATTATATTGGAAGCTGACCAAAATTCCAGATTTTTGGAAAGGAAAGGAAAGCAAAGCAGGTGTTCATCATAAATCACATTATTTATACAATTGTCTGAGTGGGCTGGCACAGGAGGTACAACCTTCTGTAGGGAACATTTCAAAATCCAGTTTTCCAAATGCCAGCCAACAAGCAACCTTGCAGGCAATCCTCTGTAAGGAGACCAGTCTTGAGCTAGCTGCATTAACTCTTCCTCACACAAGTCACATTTCAGAATATGCTTAGACTGCCTAACATTGCCTTCTGAAAATGAATACAGTGTGTATACTTACGGACCTGGGCAGTGTTTACTAAATGTGAATTAATGGATAGTTTATTTCCACTTAGATTCTGGCAGAGTACAAGTTTGATTTTCTGCAAACCATTTGTAATCATGAACATTACATTCCTCTGAATTTGCCCATGGCATTTGCAAAACCTAAACTTCAACGAGTTCAAGGTACGCATTTGAGTTTTCCACTTATTTGTAATTGGGTTTTTCCTTTTTTTTTTTTCTTACTAGTTCTAGTGTAGTATGATATTTTCTAATGAGACCAGCTAACTTAAAAGTAACTTCAGAATTTACTCTAAAGATAAGGTCATTCATCGTATTCTGTATGTCCTTCTTAGTGTTAGGAATATAATTGCGTTATGAAGAAATCAGGTGTTACATAGGTTGCTGCTTAAGAACAAGTGCCAGATCCTAGTAAAATTGATCTTTGTAATAATGTTTGAAGTCTTTTGAGACTAAATAAAGAAATACACCAGTGCATGACTGAAGCATCAAAAGAGAAGTATAGAGGCAGAGTAAGCAGTAATATATATGTATGTTAATTTTATAAAATGCCTTCAGTTATCTCCATTGCTAGTTTTATTGAATGCTTTGTTGTGTAGCACTATTCTTATGTTACTGTGTTTTTTATTTGTCCCTTTTCTTTTCATATATTAATTAGATTTTTTTTCATTTGCGGTGGACCGTTTGACTTCAGTAGGTAGGTTTAACTCGGTTCACTCTAAAGAAGTTTTCTGTCTTTAAAAACAATTGATTTGATGAATGGCTAAGATGGATGGGGGCTTTGTTTGCTTTTCAAATCCTCCCTAGCCCAAACAAGGCTTTTGTTAATGTGCCAAGGAAACATAGGAGGCGGTGTGTTGATTTTAAACATAAGCTCAAGCATTGCTAGAGAAATCAACTTAAAATACCGCCCTCAGGAAAACAAATTTCTGATCAGCCAGTGTGGGGGCTGAAGGGTTTGTTCTCCCAAGTGTATCCTCTCTCAGGCTTGCCTCCTTTCCTTTGATCCTGCTTAATGACTGCTTGGCTGTAATTTGCAAGGTGTGGGAGAAACTACCAGGTAGGATTTATTCAAATCACTGAAGTAAAAACCATTGCAAAGTCTGGCCTGTCAGGCCCCCTGGGTTAGTCAGTACTGGCCCTTGTGCATAGAAATGATTGTGATTCATGGAGAAAGCAGGACCTAACAGGAAGAACACCCCCTATGATGGTCTCTACGGGCATTTCTGCTGAGCAGTAGTTTTAGTAGCACTGTATTCACCAACACCTCAGGTATTCAGATATTTTGCCCATTAATTCTTGATACCACTGAGGTAGTCAGGGGAAAGAAAGGGATGCCAGATCATCAGGATTTAGGATTAAATTGGACTACTCAACAACATTTATCAATCCCTCATTGAATACATAACATTATATTAAGTGTTAAAGAGTCTAAAAAAAAAGAATAGAAGACAGCTGTCAGCCTGTGGTCTAAGAAATGAAACGTTGTGGAAGAGGAAATGAAGATAGTAGAGTTCTACTGTAAGATGACTAACCTTGTTCACAACCCCTTTTGGGTTGCTGGGAGGGCCAGTCAGGATGTTACCATGTACTAAAGATCTAAAAGGGAGCAAACATGCTTCCCATACTTTAGAGATTTTATGAAGGAAGAGATTTGTGTTTGATGATGAATAGAATATGATAAGGCTGTTTTTCTTGTTTTTATATCCCGTTATATTCAGGTCAATATGTAACATTTACTAAAACAGTCAGTGGTTCATACTGCTCCAGTGATTTAGTTGTCTATTTTCTCTTCTTTTTCCTATTTGAAAAGGATAAGTAGATAAGGAAATGAAGTAATATGTAGAGATACTTAGATTTGTAATTAGAACTAAATCTCTTTAGACATAAAAAACGTGTTAAGACGTTACCAAGTGTAGAACCCTTTTGTTCTTGGGGTGGGGAGAAGGGAGAATCTGGGGACTGTGTTAACCAGTAGAAATCAAGGCAATCACCCAACCCATAATGATGAGTGCTCCTGTCTTGTAAAAGTGTGCATGCTCATTCTGTATGATGAAAGAATTGTTCAGATCCATCATAATCAAATAACAGCACTTGCTAGCATGATCACAGTATTACTAAATAATATAGTATTTGAATGTTAATTTTTGAATGTTTTTGTTAAATGGGTATCAAATTTCATTGTACCACAGATTCAAATCTTGAATACAGTTTGTCAGATGAGTATTGCAAGCATCACTTCTTGGTTGGTCTACTTCTGAGGGAAACCTCCATGGCTCTTCAGGACAATTATGAGATAAGATGTACAGCTATCTCTGTCATAAAGAATCTTTTGATAAAACATGCATTTGACACTAGATACCAGCACAAGGTAAGGTCCATACACTCATCAGTGTCACATTAGTAAATTTCTGCCAAGATTTTCATTAAGGGTGAAATTTTCAGTAAGGGCATAATGAGTATTGGGGAATTCTTGCAAATAAAATTGGTTTCAAATAGTTCAGTTTTAAATATACTGTCTAGTTAACAGTTGAAGAAAAACAGTGGTTCCCCACATCAGGTTTAGAAAATAACATAACTGTTTCATGATATGTTACATAAAGTTAATTATGACTTAGAAAATCATATAAAGTAACAGGTGTTCTTTCAAATATACACTTTAATATGTATCTTTAAATATATTCCTAACTTAATGATATTATTCATTATTAAGTGGTTAATAAGACAGGCTAAGTATATCACATATAGAACATGTGATATGAAGTTCTTAATCTTACAGAAAAGATGTGGGCATGGCTGTAACCCTTACATTACACTTTATGAAAGCCACAGCTGTAGTTCCTATTTATTGCACCTTTGACATATATTAATATATGCAGTTTTTATTGACATTAAATCCTAGGGCCTTGAAAGAGACTACAAACTATGGGTTTGGAATAACTCAACTTACCTGGTATCCAGTGACTCAAGGAAACATATTTTTCATAGTTAATAGTTTGGCCCTTTTTTTTTTTTAAAGATTTATTATTTTTTTATTCATACAGAATTGGGGTACAGGCCAGAGATGTGGAGGGTGATAGGATTCACCAAAGACAGAGTGGGGAGCAGAACAGGCAGATCGGCGAAGTACACTGCTG